TTCATTCCATTGAGCTCTTTACAAGTTGTTTTTCTTCTTTCTTGCCTTTTCTTTCACTACAAGAAAAACCATATGTTTTGCTTTCTCTCTTTTTCTCCCTCTTTTTCTCTGTCTCACCTAAACAATCAATGTTCTTCTTAACACCACAGTGTATTACGGACAGTCCGATTACATTCTAATCCCCAGTGAAATGATTTATATAATATGTGGCTCAGGCACACAAAGCACAGCCATGGCAAGAAGCCATGGCAAAGGTCCATTGCTTGTGTTTGTGCTGGGTGTAATCCATAGTTTCTGTTGTTTTGGTTTTATGGTATTCAGCACCACTTAAAATATTCTGAAAAGATTACGCATTCACATCTGAAATGCACAAACTTAATTTCAGGCCAGTGATAAGGCTCTACATGTTTACAATATCCATTGTGAAGCTGTGGTGGGTGTAGTGGTATTATAGTATACATGCTCCCCATTTGTAATAGTAAAATGAAAGGCTTTAATTATATAAAGTGGTACAGTCCAGATCCATCCATGGGGAAAAAAGTGGTTATGGCCAATATACAAACCTTATACAGTATTTAGAGATATACATTTGCCTTTTGTGATGAGCAATGCCATGAGAAAAATACGTTTTTTTTTTGCTAAAAGCATTCTTTTACTTGTCAAACTGAAATATATGGTAGGTGGAAGGAATTTTGTCAACAAAATTACAGAGGTGGTGAATTGGCAATACATAAAACCATGAACATTATTTGACCAAAAAAATTAGCCATGAATTATTAAATAAAGGGTTAATGTCTTCCAGGTACTGCAGGGTAAACTGTCAATTTTAAACGTTTTCCTTACTGGGTTATGACTATATCATGTGCATCAAGATAAAACTTTGGAATGGGATAGTGCATGATTTAATTTCTTTTAAATATATGTTTTCATTTATTTTTGCATAGACATATATTTACATTTATTTATATTTGCAAGCATTCTGCTTACCCTTTGGCATGACGCATAATGTGTGGCAATTTTGTTAGTCATATTTCTATGGCCCTATGTTATTTAAATTTTTGGTTGGTAGCAGACTTCCTGAAATATAATTAGGAGGATTAGTTTTTCCTCCTTTTTATCTTTACCCATCTCATTTTGGACAGTAAAAAGTGGCACCGCTTACCCCACACTTCCTAATTATAATTTGAACTGTTTTATAGAATAATTTTGCATTAGTGTTTTATCTGTATTTTAAAATTAAAATAATGTTTCAATTATTTTGTTATAATTATAGTTGTCTTTGCATGCTCTGTAATAATTTGTCTGAAATATGATTTCCTCTGACAGCTTGGAAAAAAATATTTCAGGGCTGCATGTAGATAAGAACATTGAAAGACAAATTCCTATGACAGTTATCGCTTTAGTCTGCATGAAATATTGACATGAAACTCAGATCTCCTGTTATACAATTTCCCATGTTGAACATTTAACCGAACACGCTAGCTCAGAACGATAAAACAGAAAGTGGATGAGTGGTGTAATAAATCTGTCAGACAGTCAACAGAAAAGTTCACTAAGTGCACGAAAATAATTATTCACATGCATTGAAAAGATTAAGTTAGCCAGTCACATGTTACCTGGCATTTCTCACAAAAGCAGTCTGTCAACAGTGTTCAATTAAAAAGTCATTAATTAACTTCTATGATTGACCTGCTGCTTTGTGAAACTGTAATTGTCTGGAGGTTTTGCTGCATTTGATTATAGAGATGCACAATGCCTGTGTGTTGAATCTTACATAGCTACTGTCTGTTTTACAATATTTTTTCTTTTTATTTTGTGGAAAGATTCATGACTGGATTCCTCCATCATCAGCATAATGTATCAAAGCATGCTTAATTTTTCAACGACAACGCGGAAAAGTTTTCAAGGTGGTATAATTCAAGATTAGGATAAAATTCCCCTCTCTGAACTTTTCAGAGGAGTCTGGGAAATAACTGGGGGGATGTTAACAGAGGCAGATCTAAGCTTGTTTCATTCTGGGCCGTTGCCTTCAACTGGGTGATGACCACAACATTTTTTTTATTACTGTACGCCTCGAGAGATGGCTGACCCCTTCTTCAGCTGTCATGAATTTATAATAACTGCCTCATACCATTCCCCACTTCACAGTATCTCAGATCCATTCCCATAAAACAGAACTGTACCAGCACAGCAATTGAGTCACGTGTGCAACTGTCAACTGTGCAAACATGAGAGCTACTCATCAAAGTGTGAGTGGAGTGTTCCTGAGGTGTGGAAATGTTGGGATACAATGAGAGGGAGTTGCTTAGGGGATTCCCAGGATGGCAGCTTATAAACACAGATCTGCTGTGGTAGGGATGAAATTAGAAGCTAGAAACGTCAAGACAGAAAACTAAATTAAAAAAAAATTATAAAAAATTCGGTCTGGAAAAAAAGCTGAAAATTAATGAAGAAAAACCAGTAATAAACTGAAGATAATGTTAAGTGTTTGCCTCTCGTCTGACAAGGAATGGCATCTGTCGGCCTGCTTATAAGGCCATTGGGGTTGCTGGTAATGGCACCACAGGAAGCTTTACAGGGGTACAAGAGGCTTGTTTAATGAAAGCTTGG